GCTGTATGGAAAGTGAATTTGCTCTGTAAATTTTCCGCCAAATCACAATAAAAAAACAAAAACAAAAAAAACCCCACTAACAAGAGCTACTTCTAAAAAAAAAGAGAGAGAGCATACATCATACATTTTCAAATGTAGAAACACATTTGCCTGTCTTGTTCTTTAGAATAACCTGATCCTCTTCCATCTATGGGTCATTTTAAGATTTCAAAGCAGAGCCGCACCAACACAAGTCTTGCTCTAATGCTTAAACTGCCCAATTTTCAGTTTTATTTAACAGCATGAAAACTATAGGGAGGAGGCAGGCTTATGGATGCCAGTCACTGTACTTTGACTGAACGACACACATCGTGGTCCTGGAAATCAAAAACACTATAATGGTGGGTGAAGGCTTGGTAAGGAAAGACAGGATGACATGTCCCAAGAGGCCCAGGTCTCTTAACAGTTCCCTGAATTAAGTTATTAACATGCCTCAAATTGGTACTAAAAAGGACTTTACCAGGGCAGAGCACAGGAATCCATGCCACCTTCACTGGCCACAGTGGACTGTGGGGCTTGTGACCATCAAGATAACTCACTCATATATTTGATCATTCCAGGCAATGGAGATCGTGCCTTCGTGTGTGTATGTGTAAGTGGGTCCACAGATCAGAAGGAAGCTGACTGCTCGCAGAGCCTACAAACACATTCTCTTGATTCATCTGCTCTTCTTGTTTCTGACCAGAATACATTCAAACCCATGTACAACACTTAGTAACTAGAAGATCTCATATTAAAATCAAGATTTCCATCTTCTCTTGAAAAATCAAGTGTAATTAGCAACAGTGGGCCTAGATTCCTGGTGAAAACTGGTCATGGCTCCCCTTTCACATGAGCCATATGATCTCTTGGCATCCAAGTTCCTCCAATCGCTACCACTTCCCCAATGATGGGCACAGTATCCACTATCACACCTGGCCCACTTCTCTCATTTACAGAATCAGGATGGCCCTTAAGTAGGCATGTGAGGTTGCCTCTCAGATCATGAGTCACTTGGGAAATGCTGTAGCATTTAAGCTTGCACTGAAAGAAATGCTTAGAGAACATGATAGCAAACCATCTACACAGAAATAAAACCAGTATTCAACAGCTCACCTGTATTTTCTGGCATGGAAGCTTGATCCGTATTCCTCTCCTTTTTGAAAGAAATATTTCCAAACTGAAGCACTGAAGATACCACTTTAAGCATTGCTTTACAATGATACGAGAAAAAAAAAAAAATGTTATTAATATGCAGTAGACACATATCCTAATTTATTTTGTGCTATAAATTAGCTACACAAAGCTTTGCAGTAAGGCATGTCTCAGGATTTCATAGAATTAAGATATAGTTACTAGTTTCTCAACTGTTTTCGAGTTTAGGTTATTTACCCCCAATCTGTACATTTTAACATTTTATGAAAATAAGTATCAGAATCTTAGAGGAATCACACATACACAAAATTTCTTCATGAGAGAAGCCCATTATATGCATCGCTTCCATGGTTTCCTGGAAGTTATCTTTGTCTTGCTGTCCCGGAATAGGAATATAGCCATTGGAGAGAAACCTGTAGTTATTAAATCCCTCAAGGAGCAAATCAGCTGAAAGAAAATATAATGGAATAAAATTTAATAAACACTCATAAAACACACCCAAGTTCAAGCTGGACTGATATCACAATGGAACAATGGTTCACATCCAACCTATAACCACCATATACTTTTTCTTTTATTATATTGTCATGTAAACAAACAAATACATAAAATTTTCTACTATCTGTACCAATGAAGGAATATGATGACACAAATAATGCAAAAATCTCAACAAGAGTTTGGGGATGGTGGTTTGTACAATACTTATATTTGAAATCGTATTTCTCCAGATAATTGAACTTCATTGTTTTCAGATTGGAATATTTTAGCCATCTTTTGAGAGAAACTTACAAAGCCATATTCTACATTTAAGTAGTTTACAGCAAATTACCACTGGGTCAATAAAGAAGGCTACCATGGACATAACCCAAGAACAGAGATGTAGGAAGATAAAGCATAGTACCAAGCTGAATTCTAAGCCCAGTAAATGGCCTGGAAACATTTTGTGGTTAATCTGCCACCTGTTATCACTTGAGAGAATATGATAATGGGCACCCTCGTTGGCTATTTGGACTTTAGTATTTAGTAGCCAATGAATCAAAGAGAACTTAACCTACTTTTTCAATAAATGAGCTCTTGAGAGCAGAAGGATGTTCTTAGGAGTATCCAAACACACAGGGCTTTTCATCCCTGTAACAGACGTTGTAATGTGCTCCTAGCTTTCTTCCAACTGTCTCTCTCTTACTCTGCTGCTGAGGATTTCTGTCTCTCACCCTATCACGCACCTCCTGTCTACATCACACTTGATTTCTATTGAGTACTGCTTTCTTGCTTTTTCTATTTCCTTCTCTTAGCACTTTAATCATGTTTTTTTTTTTTTCTTTCTTTCTTACTACTGCAGAGTCATTGCCAGTCAGGAAACCTGAGGATTTTCTTCTCCTCTGCATCTCATACAGTATAATCTTGGATTTTAGGCTCTTGTTAGCAGTTGCTCTATTTATTTAGCTGTTGCTTCCTTGCAGATGTTTCTGTAATTTGTATCTGGGTTCAATGCTTTTGCACATGCCTGCAGTTAGCAAAAGCCTAGACCTCAGATGAGAAACTTATCACTATGCATGTGTCTGCTGTGATACTCAGGTGGTAGATATACTCATTATACAGAAGCAACACTAAATTTGAGACTCAGAAGAGACTGGAAAGTTGTGCATCTTTTCCTTTCACTCACATACTTCTAACCAGAGGTCTGCTTTTTACCCGACCCAACCCTGAGCTTCTAGTCTTTATGATTCATGCCAAAGACTAACAAACAAAAAACATAACACCACCACAGGCTCTCTTTCTAGTGGGGGAAAACAAACACACACACACACACACACATCTCTACAAACAAAAATATTTATTTTACTTAATATATTATGTACATTTATTTTTTCTTTTAATTTATAAACATAGGCACAGAACTGGATAAAAATTCATCTTCATTTATCTTAGAATTTAAAAATGTGTACAAAGATAATAGAAGAACATTCATATACCTGCCACTCAAAATAAAATGCCTATTCCTTGACATGGAATTCATTTTCATCTCTAACCAGTTAGAATTTTGGTGTGTATGTCCAAAATTACTGTTTTCCAAAGGTTCTCTCTTAAAAAATAAATAAGTAAGTAATGATATTAAAAATGATACTGAAGTGAATATAAAATAATAACAACCTTTGGAACTTACACTTCAGGTGTTCACCTGCTCCAGATAACAACTGGTAAAAGATATGAAAAGTACGCTCATCTTTTGCTTGACGAACAGCACGAGACTTTTCTAGAAGGTCTGAGCAAAGATAGTTAAGGATTAAATAATTTTAAAAGTGGCCTCTTTCAGTGTTTACACAAATTTAATTCATAAAACTGATTCTTTCTCTGATATATGTCAACCATCCTGAAATGAACCAATCTAAATGACTGCCCTATGTGAGTAGAAAACATTATATGTGTATGCAATGCATTGCACTGTAAGGGAGTTTAAAATTATTGAGTGCTTTCCCACTTTGCCCCCACTCCTACTGGGTGGATTTCCATTCAAGGATCACAGCACTATAGTTGGAACTGTCACAAGTTATTAAAAATGAAGTACAGTTGCTTGAGGCAGGAGAAGGCTTATAATATCAGAATTATCAGAATTTTCCAAATAAGAAAACCAAGGCACAAAGAAATGAAGTGAATCTAAATAAAATAGCTTATAATTGGTAGAGTTAGACATAAAAACTTATTCTGACTCCAAAACATATGTGCTACGAGTCACCTTAAACTCATCATCTCATTTAAATTTTCCAAGTAACGCCATAATTAATAACCACTGACCTTGTCTTCACTGACTACTGTCAGTATATCAAGAACCGCTGCCAGGACCTAGAACTGTGCTGCCTATCCTGGGCTGCCCTATGGCAACAGCTAAACCTCTAACTGGCTTCTAAGCTTTGGGGTGTCTGTGCACAGGACCATCTAACATGGGCTAGTATCTGATGAGGCCTGTTTGTGTCCCTGGTGTCTAGCTAAACACAGAGCACCTGGGTGGACAGTCACATGGGGTGCTCACAGAATCCTGGTCTTACTGCTTCAGAAGATCATCATCGCCTTTCAGGTAACCCTCCACTGGGGCCACCACAGTGAATTAGGTCTGTAAGGGCCATATGCCCATATTTTAGATCAGACACATCCCAACCCATCCTCCACATTTGGGGAAAAATACATTCAGATGAACGATGCTATTAACACATCAATATTAAGGAATTATAACTTCACATTCATTCCTGTCATTTCAAAGTGTTTCGGGTGTTCTGTGGTCATAATACAGTCCTGAATTAAGAGGAAATTTTTCATCTATTCTTCACCTAAGTTGTATTAGCTTTCTGAGAAATAAACCCAATACATCTCTATCACTGGAGACGAGTGGAACAAGTATAAGAGAATCATCACCTGCATCCCTTTCTCTCTGCTGCCCTATCATTCACAATCGTTTCTATTTTATTGCCTCTCTGATCAAATTTATTTTACATGTACATACACATGGGGTTGTCATTAGTCAGAATTGGTATGACAACAGTATGTATGGGTTTTCTTGGTACTATTTTTAAGACTCTTCTATGTATGTGACATTTCTTAGGACTATTTACATATTTGACATTTTATATTTTCCTCTACCTTTATTCCGCTTAAAAGCAACTGAAACTACTTTAACTCTTTATTTTCATAAGGCTTGTTTAACGGGTACACGCCTACTCTAATACAGTAAAAGCTGATGGGAAAAATGGCGGAAAAGACAGAGGGGGGTAGGGTGGGGCTAATACAAGTACAGTGTAACAGTAAAACTGAAGAACACTTCAAAATAACAGTGTTTATCTAGGTGAGCATTCCAGAAGCATATCCTCATCCCACACAAACATCTCCTGGGGTCAACACATAGACAGTCCTCACCTCAGTGAAATGTTCCACTTCTCCAGCCATGCAAACACTTACGATACAGTTTTAAAAACAAGGAATAACAAATAAAACACTGCTTCAGAATTAATATTTAGTAGTTGAAAATTTCTGAACAAATCACATTGTCCCTGGGCTTAAATTTTATCATCTGGCTAATGGGAGTGATATCACCTGTCACACAAGGTTGCCGAGAAGATCAAGGATGATCAAATCTTTGTTGTGGATTATGCTATTATCATAATATATGTGCCTATCAAAAAAGGATACACGTTTCAATGTTGGCCCCAACGATATAGCCAGTTACATCAAAGTTGATCCGAATAAACTTGCCCTGAAAATACATTAAAAAGAGAAAATTAAAAATAAGTAAGGACATAGAGGACCTTAATATTATAAGATAATAAAACAATGTGCCTTGGCAAGTATCCATGAATTAGTTACAAAAATGAATCTATATATACGGGAGCTCTGGTAGCATATATATATAGCCTCAAATAAAAAAAAGAGAGAGAAATGGAAAATTCTCATTAACTAGGTTATATCCTGGACTATGACATAATAAAATTAGAAATTATTAACAAAAGAAAAGTAATAAAACATCATTTAAAACTTTTAAAAAACTCTTTTAAACAACCTGATAAAAGCGACTTTAATACTTTTCAAGTCACACTATATTCAGCTCTATACTAATAGGTTTGAAAATCTGCATATAAGATTATTTCCTAGGAAGATAGACATCCATTCAAGAAAAATTAAAAGAAAACTTGAACAGATCACAACTGTAAAAAAGTAATGAAATAGAATTACTTCTTTAAAAATGCTGAATAGGTCCTATCAAACTGTTTTAAGTTTCTAAGAAATATTTAATTTCCTTATGATAGAAAATGTTTTAGGGAAATAGAAAATATTGATTATTTCCTAATTAATTTTATAAAGTTATCATAGCACTGATACACAAACTGAAATACATATAGCACAAAAAGGGAAAGCAAAAAGGAAAAAGTAAATATAATTACGTCTCATGTAGAAATGTAGATTAAAAAAAGAAACATAAACAATGATCAACAATGGTTTTTATTTCAGGAATGCTAAGAAGGACTGGTATCAGTAAGCACATTAGTATTATTCACTGCATGACCAGTCAAAGGTTTGGCAGGCTCTTTTGAAGAAATATATCGGTAGATTCTATAAAATACATACCAAAAACAAAGTACATACATCAGCCAAAACAATTTTGAAAAAGAGGAACAGTTTATACTATCTGATTAAAAAAATAATAATAAAGAGTTGATTATCAAGACAGTGTGGTATCAGCATAAAACAGACGTACAGATTAATGAAACAAAATAAAGTCCAGAAGCAGACACAGGCATCGATGTTCAGTTTATTTTTAACAAAGGCACCACAGTAATTCAGTAGGGAAAACTCTTTTCAAAAACTAGTGCTTGAAAACTTAGATATCTACGTACAAAAACAAACAAAAAATGCTAGCTCCTTATCTTACACCATATATTAACTCAAAAATAGATCGTATCAAATACTCATGGAATCCAGACTTTCTGGAACCACTGAGGTTAGAGGAACCTCATAAACTATTGCCCTGCAATAATCTTTAAACTGTAAACAAAAAATATCCTCTGAAGTCTTCTTTAAAACCAACAATAGTTTAGATTAATTAGTAAAAAATATTTGCCTTGAGCATTGTGTTCTTTTAAAGAACTATCTATATGAGATCAAACTGACCACAACTCAAAAAGTTGGAAAGAAGCTTAGGGGTAGTGAGTTATGTTAACAGAAGAACAATTTTAAAAAGGGAGGTGAGAATGGTTGCACAACTTGAAGAATATAATCAGTGTCACTGAACTGTACATGTAATAACTGTTGAATTATTATGTTTGGCTGTACACATTTTCAACAACAATAATTTATTAAAAAATAGATCACAGACTTTAAGTAGATTTAAATGTATGAACTATGAAACTTATGAAACAGGAGAAAATCTGTTAAGTTAGACAAAGATTGCTTAGAATGCAAAAAGCATGAATCATAAAAAAAAAAGCTGATAAATGGGATTTCACCAAAATCTTAAAATTATGCTCTTCAAAAGACACTGTAACAAAAGAACTAGATGGTGTCTGGTTACCACTACCAACCACTCAGATAAAGATCACAATAGAAGGTCCTGTACAGAGTGGAGAAAAATGTAGAACAAAATACAAAATCATAAAACACCAGACTTCCTGGTCTGATAGAAACTAGTAGAACTCCTGAGACTGTAGATCTCAGACCCCCTTCAAACCCAGGAATGAGCCCCTCCCAGGATCACTTGGGTTGCCCAACAATCTACAGGCTATAATGTGAGCAGTAAGATCCGTGAGGAACGTCTCCTCAGAAAAATCAACCATATGAGACCAAGAGGGCAGCACACTGGCCCAAAACCAAACTCAGAAAGCATGGGTGACTGGAAACAGGTGAGGCAGGGAGGAAAAGAGAAGAGTGACGGTCCACTGAGGAGACGGCAACTAGTATCACAAAATATAATGTGTATAAATTGTCGAAACTAATTTGCTCTGTAAACTTTCACCGAAACAACAACAACAAAAATTACACTGTAAAACAAAGAGCCAAGCCACAAACTGAAATAAAATGTTTACAAAATACATATCTGATGAAGGACTTATACGCAGAATACATAAACAACTTACAAGGCAATAACATGAAGAGTCTAATTTTTAAAAATTGGGTGAAAGATCTGATTAGACACTTCATCTAAAAAAATATGTGGTTAATAGGTACATTAGTCATAAGGAATATGCAAACTCAAACGGGGAGAATAAGATAATATCTGGTGGTGTAGTGCCTAAGGCACTTGACTGCTAATCAGAAGGTTGGCAGTTCAAACCCACCAGCCACTCCTCGGAAGGAAGATTGGGGCAATCTACTTCTATAGAGATACCTCCTCGGAAACCTAAGGAGGGGTCACTATGAGTTGGAGACAATTCAATGGCACATGACAACAACAAAAAATCCACTGGACGATATGAAGAACACAGCACCAGGATTGGAGGAAGGCTCGTTAACAACCTACTATATGCAGATGACACACAACCTTGCTTTCTAAAAGTGAAGAGGGCTTGAAATACTTACTGACGAAGATCAAAGACTATAGTCTTCAGTAGGGATTATACTTCAACATGAAGAAAACTAAAATCTCACAACTGCACCAGTAAGTAACATCGTGATAAAGGAGAAAAGACTGAAGTTGTCAAGAATTGCATTTTACTTGGATCCAAAATCAAGACCCATGGAAGCAGCAGTCAAGAAATCAGATGATGTACTGCACTGGTCAGATGTGCAGCAGAAGACCTCCCTAAAGTGTTAAACAGCAATGATGTCATTTTGATGACTAAGGTGCACCTAACCCAAAGCTCTAACAGAAAACAAGAGAGTGCACTCTACCGCCTCATATGCACGTGAAAGCCAGACAATAGGAAGACAGAAAAAGAGTCGATGCCCTTGAACTGTGGTGCTGGCAGAGAGTACTGAAAATACCACGGACTGTCAAAAGAACCAGAAAATTGGTCCCGGAAGAAGAGCAGCCAGAATGCTCCTTGAAAGCGAGAATGACCAGACTTTGTCTCCCTACTTTGGTCATGTTGTCAGAAGGGACCACTCCCTGGAGAAGAGGGTCAGCAAAAAAGGGGAAGACCCTCAGCAAGATGGACTGACACAGTGGGTACAATGATGGGTCCAAGCATATCAAGGATTTGTGAGGAGGGTGCAGGACCAAGCAGTGCTTCACAGGGTCACTATGAGTCGGAGCCCACTCAAAGGCACCAAACCACCACCACCAGCCCACCTCTGCAGCTTCTTTACATACCCCCAAAAGAAACCAGTATCTCTGAAAACAACCTATTCAGTAATTAATAGGTCTCAGTTATTTTTAAAGCCAAAACTTTAAAATTTATTCTATTTTGTAAATAATTAAAGAAAACAACAAGGTCAGATATTTTACAAGATCTATCCAAGCACTGTGACAACATAAAATAAAATTCCAGAACCAAAAAGAAAGACTTAACTAAATACCCCCAAATATTCTGTTGTTGTTGCTAGATGCCGTCAAGTCTAGGAATTAAACAGTCCATTAATATTGGATACCCTGGGGCTTTAGCTCTTGTAAGAAGCAGGCCATGGGGTACATATAACATTTCAGTATTGGCCAACTAATAACTCATTTCTAAGGGTATGAGTCTACTTTTATGAACAACAAAAACAGAAGAGCAGAGAAAAACAAAGGATAAAACACAACTTATTAACAGTATGTATCTCTAATGGTGAAATCTTTTCCTTTTTCCTTGGTGGAAGTAAGAAGGGAATAAATTCTATAAACTGAAAAGGTTTCCTTTCAAATATATAATAAATTGTTGTTGTTATGTGCCGTCGAGTCGGCCCCGACTCATAGCGACCC